TGAAAAAAAAAAGGGAAAAAAAAAACTTGCAAGCGAAAATACCCATTATTACTGCTGAATCTCAACATTTTCCACAGAAAAATCTATCACGACAGAAGAGAGCAAAAGAGTACTCTGTCAGGGTTTTTTCATAAGTGCCTTTCTAGATTCAATTAGTCATTCTGCAGCAACTGATACACTCCACATCGCTCACAACAGCCAAAACAGGTTCTGATGTTTTTTCAGATCATGAATGCTAATCAACCTAGCGAGCGATATATATTGACCGGGTTACGCTCCAAGGATGAATTCTCCATGTTTGAAATCCAAAACCCGAAGTGCTATTTCTTGCAGTGCTCGTTCTCCACTAAGCCAAAGCAGGCTTTGACGTTTTCAAATCTGTCGAAACCACCTTACATACAGGGGTCGTCTCATCCTTGCTCAGAAGCTTCAGCGATGGATGGAGGCTGATGTCTCGCATGAATATTCTCTCTCCAATGTCTAGATTGCTCAGGTCGACCTCGATCTTTTGAGGGATGTTCTCTGCAGGGCAGAGAAGCTTGAGTGTGGTTCTGAACTGGTTCAACCGGCCACCTGTCATCCACCAGCATCGAAATGATAGCACATTGGTTGAGTATATTTGATCAAGATAGTTCATTTGAGTATATAATGAGATTGTATTAGCTTGAAATTCCATAAAAAGCATCGTATGGAGGCAGGTTGAGTTCATAAATGACCAAATCAAGTAGTCTTGGCAAGCAAAATAAGTTCTTCAGCCAATTAATGAAATGCCAACCAATAAGAGAAAAAAGAAAGTTAGACATGAAGCAGCAACCAGGTGGCGGAACTAACATAGCATGGTTATTAGTTCACAAAGTTTAAGAAAATCTGCTATACTGTTACTGGATTGCAGGCATTGAGAGGATAGAACATAAGAGAACTAAACCTAGTAAATTGCCAAAGATTTGGGGTAAGAACTTAAAATGTCAGAGCAACTTCCGGTCGAAATTAGAACAGGACTACAGCAATAACATCAACGCAAGCACTTGGCATGGAGCCACACACAACTTTGCTGCATCAATCACATTCCCACTTATCCGATCAACTATCGATTAAACCACTGTATGAACGCAACTAACCAGCAGACTGCTGAAAACTCTCCATACCTACTAACACTACATTAAATAGACTATATAGATTAAAGCACCAGGAAATTCGCAACTGGCTACTCAAACAGCAGGCAATGCCACACTTCCACAGCCATTGGGCAAAGGGTTCCAAAATAAGAATGGAATGTACAACACTGGCAGACTTAAAACAAAATTATGAATGAAAAAGCACATTTCGCAGGCATTCCTATGAGAACTACCAAGGAAATGACCAACTTAGCTCCACTTACTTCCCTCCATTTCCAAATCTGAATAAGGGAAGTTGCTAAATTACCTTTCTGGAGACCAGGGCAATTCTCTTCTCCCTTGAAAACAACTGGAACATCAACTTTCAATTCAGTGCCTGGATCCGCCCAAACAAACACCAAATTCAGTATCTTTCCGGTCCCTTCCTCTCTGTGTATCTACACAGCACCAACCCAATTGAAACCCAAAATCAATACATGAGGAAATCAATACTGCAGAACAAAAAAGAGGGGAAGTAGGGGTAAGAGGTGTTTGCCTTAACGGGGAGAACGTTCCCGGATTCGAGCATCACGGACGACCCGGCCCCGGCCCGGATCTGCAGTGGGAAGGTAGTGGAGCAGAAGAAAGGTGATTCGACCGACCTGAGGATGGCTTGGATTTGCTTCTTCTCGGTAGTCAACAGTCGTTTTCTGGAGGACGAGGCGGAGGACCGAGCATTAGGGTTCTTCTCGAGGAGGTTCTGCGTGAAAACCACCGCCGGGATCCTTCCCTGTGTCCTTTCTCGTCCCGCGACTCGGCTTCCGGTGGCCTCTCGAGGGACCGCTTGGATCGTGTGGTAAGGAGAAGACTGGGAGTAGAGTGACTGAACCGACGGCGGAGGGAATTTCGCCGCCGTTCTCATCCCACGCCACCATTTCGCCAGTGCCATCGTCGTCTGCAAAACGTTCCTGAGGGTTTTTGCTGGGTCGAGGTTTTAGGCGGAGGGGCTAGATAGACGAAAGGAAATAGGTTGGGCTTCTACTTTGGGCTCAAAAACTCTGAATTGGGCCATTTAAGCTCATCGGACTTAACCCATTTCTGGCCCATGCTGTCCATTGCGCGCCACTATCTAGCTATTTGAAATATAATCTTCCTCCCTCTCTATCTCTCTCCCCGGTTCACAGAAGTGATCTTCTTCTCTTTAGCATATCTTTCCAAAACTCCATTGTTCCTTCGTCTGCAAGATTTAAGCTTTCTTTCTTGATTGCATTCTTTCCTTTATTGTTTCCTATCAGTCGCTCCAGTACTTCTACCACATTCAAAGAAGAAGAAGAAGAACAGTTGCAAACAATCTGTAGAGAGAGAGAGACAGGGAGAGAAATGGAGCCTCCGGAGCATCTTCTTTAGCCAATCTCTTCAGTTTCTACTGTTTCTTTCAGCACCAAAGAAGACTATTCAAGTCCCCCCTATCCTTCTCTTAGCTTTCTGGGATTTCGTTTCCACCATCAATCCAATCTTCACTCCACACACAAACAATGCGGCTCTTCGTACGTCAATCTGTCTTCATTAATCCATTCTTTCTTTCTTTTCCTTCTGAATTTCTTTCTTGGTGGGCTTTTCTGATTTGCTATGCTCGTTTCTTCCCGTTGATGATGGCGACAGACTCTGTTCCTGCTTCTCCTGCGGAGGCTGATTCCAATGCGACTCACCGCAGTACAGAATGTCATGGTTATAGTTGTGGGTCTTAAGGCCCTGTTCCGCACTCGTCAACTGATGGAATCTCAAGCTGCTGCTGCACAAGAATTGAACTTGATTGAGGAAGGAGTACGAAGAGATGAACCCCCGCCACCAGAGGCAGTAGCGCAGCCAGCCCACGATTCTTCTACTCGTCGTCTAACTGACAGAGAACTTATGCAGGCCTTTTTGGGAATTTTCCAGAACGCGATTGAGATTCTCAGCACTCTGAGTGAACAATCTCCTTCCCTCAGGGGAGAGCTGACGCAATTCTTCAGACAAGCAGTCGCCGATGAAATCCAACTACTAATGGCGGACGAGCAAGAAAGAAGAACGGCGCGGACTGACCATGTTATCATTGACATCATCGATTCTGAAGAAGCGGAAACAGAGCCACCGTCGTCGTCGCCGGTCATCAACGGATCAGGAACGGAGCCACGTAATCAGAACGAGCGAGCTGCCCAAGTCGAGGATCGCATCATTCATCGGGAAATCGAGATGACCATTCCATCTTTCAACCCGCTACCATTTATGCCCAATTTACGAGCTGGATCGTCGCTGACTAACTTTACCGGCGAAAGCAGTGCCGCCCGGAGCAGAGGAGCGGCGAAGGAAACGGACGAGGAGGGCACTGGGAAGAGGAAGAAAGCTTGAAGCCCATTGGAGACGCTAGATAGAATGCAGACGGGACAGAAGATCATACTCATCAGTCCACTGGATCGATCTACTAACAGAACAGAGGCTTTTTTCTTCTTCCTCACTTCGTTTGTTAGTTGTGCAGTTTTGACCGGTTTACTTTCAGCTTTAGCTTTGGATATCCTCGGGGATGATTTTTTTTCTCTCCTTCTTTTGGTTGCTACTGATCACATCATGATGTAGAAGAAGAACTGATTGATTACTACTTCACATTTCTTTAGCATCGATGTGAACTACATTTCCATATATGATTGGATGATTGAATACAATGAATGTTTAATACTCTGCCTTTCAGTTTCGACATTCTGATTCCTTTCGGATTACACTACAATTGTACCAAGCTAATCTTTAATACACATCTCAAGTTATCGAGATTCTCAGTCTCTCCCACAGAACAGACCGAAAATGAAGGGGGAAAACCCAGCTGCCCGCCGTCGTTGGCATTGTGTGTTGACGACATGATGGTATGCACCCTACTTAATTTCATGAACAAGTTAAAGCACACCATCTTTCTCTCCATCTTTAACGTGGTGCGTGCGCTTCTGTCATCTACTTCTCAGTTGCAAGCCGAAAAATGCATGTACAAGTCCTATGGAAAATGAGTGAGTAATTGATGCTTCATAATTCAGCACTATGGAAAATCTGTTATGCACTTCATATATGAACAAGGAGGTGTAGTGCCAAACCAACATAGGTTTTGGTAAACTACAATTAGCTCCTATTTAAGGAATATAGGGTTAGGTGATGTATTATTAGGTTGTTGTCGAAACAACCTTACATACCGGAGCCATCTCATCCTTGCTTAGAAGCTCCAGCGATGGATTCACATCGATCTCACTCAGGGATGTTTTCAGCATGACGGAGAAACTTGACACTGGTTCAAATGGCCACCTGTGCACCAGCATCAAAATGATAAAACGTCAGTTAAGTAAATCCGATCAGCAATGGGTCCTTTGAGTGTATAATGAGATTAAGATAGTGCATGTTCAGGCACTTTGGCCTCATCAATGGACTCAGCAAGCAAATGAATGCAAACAGTAGTAGCTAACCAATATGAGAAGTGAAAACTAGACATGAAGCAGAAACCAGGCAGCAGAAGAAACTAAGAGCACATAGCATAGGGTTATTAGTACAGAGATGCAGGGTGGGGATTCATTGCACATCTACTGAAATGCAGCACCGAGGTGATTGAACATAAGAAGAACATTGTGCCAGACTACCAGGTAAGATTGGCAGAGATTTGGGGTAGGAAGTTGAGATTTCAAGAGTAAGTTCCTTCTAACAGAATTATGATAGGGCTACAGCAGTAACATCAGTACAAGCTATAGTCATGAAGCCACACACAAGTACAATCACAATTTCAGTTATCGGATCAAATGTCGCTTAAACCCCACCATATGAATTAATGCAACTAACCAACCATCAATTGGAATGGGAAATCAGTCATGCACTTCATATATGAGAAAAAGGAAGGGTAGCGGCAAAGTGACATAGGTTTAGGGGAACTAAAATTAGCGCCTATTTGGGGATTATAGGGTAAGGTAATGTATTCTTAGGTGTGGCAAAACAACCTTAAAAACAGGACATCTCATCTTTGCTTAGGAGCTTCAGCGTGGATGGAGATTGATGAGATCAACCTCGACCTTGTAAAGGATGGTCTCCGCAGGGCAGAGAAACTTGAGAGTGGTTGTAAAGTGGTTCAACCTGCCACCAGCATCCAAAATGATAGCACATCGATTAGGTATATTTGTATGAACAAAGCATTCATTTGAGTACATACTGAGATATCAATTGCTTAAAAGCATCACATTTCATGCATTTTGAGGTCGTAATGGTTAAATCAAGTAGCCTCGTCAAGCGAAACAAGTTCTACGGCCAATGAATGCAGACCGTGGCGCGACTGACCAATATGAGAAAACCGAAATGTAGACATTAGCCAGGAAGCAGGCGGCAGACAGAACTAAGAGCACATATCATGATTATTAGTACAAAGATGCAGATACGTTTAACGGTCAAATCTGCCACTACTTTTGCAAGATTGCAGAATTGAGAAGATAGAACACAAGGAGTTCCTCCGTGTAGCAAACTGCGACGGATTCGGGTAACGAGTTTAAAATTTCGAGAGTAACTCCCAGTTGAATAGAATCATTTAACAGGCTAAAGCAATAACTAGCAGGACTGCAACTAACTAGTAGACACTGCTAACCATTCTAGACGCACAAACACGATGATGTGATCAAACTACTGAAACGGCAGCTAACGCCACAAGTCCACAACCGCTGGCTGGGGAAACATTTCCACAATGGCATGTCAACTACCAAACAATTCAGTCCCCTCGTCTCTATGTATCTACACACAGCACAGCAGCATCACGATTTATGAGACCCAACATCAACCTTCCATGAGGCTATTGAAAATCAGTGACAGAAAGGTAAGAGGGGGAAAAAAGGATGTTTGCCTTATCGGGGAGAAAGGTGGCTTGAATTCGCAACTTCTCCATCGCCGACAGAAAGGGTTAGAGTTCTTAGGTCAAGGGAGCGAACCATCGCCGAAAGCCTCCCGAGGAATCGATAAGATGGTGTGCTAAGAAGAATTCTCAGAGTGCAGTGACTTGATCGTCGGCGGGAGACATATGGAATTTCGCCGCCGTTCTAATCCGACGCCACCATTTCGCCATTGCCCCGCCCGCGTCTGCAATTCATTCCGGTTTTTGCTGGTTAGAGGATCTGGAGAAGGGACGGAAGGAAATAGATTGGGCTTCTACATTGGGCTCACAGCTGAATTGGGCCGTTTAATACCAACGGGCTTAACCCAAATGTGACCCATGTCACTCATTGCGCGCCACTCTCCAGCTCTTTGAAATAGAATCCATCGCAGCATAAATTGCTCTGCTCTCTGCTCTGCCCGCCTCCCTCTTCTCACTCACTGTCACTCTCCCTCCACAATTCACAGTAGAATACAGAGAGAAACATGGAGCCTCCATAGCCATCTTTTTTAGCCTATCTCTCCACAAACTCCACCGTTGCTTCAGCAAATCAAGAATACGATTCAGTCGCTCTTTCCTTCGTTTAGCTTTCTGGGATTTCGTTTCCTCCGTCTCACTCTGAATTTCCGACTCAAGAATTCACAGTGCCTTTCTCGGTGATTCTCCATTACCATTTCTATTTTTCAGTTTTCTATTGCTATTTCGATTTGCGATTATGGGTATCTTTATTTCTTCTCCCTCTGATTCCAAAACCGGGCGTTGCTTTCCTGATTCCATTTTTCTTTTGCGATTGCGATTCTGGGTTTCTTTCTTTCTTTCTTCTCGCTCTGATTCCTAAACCTCTCTTCCGCATTACTTTCTCGATTCCTGTCAGTCTGGGAGAAGAACGGGAGCAAGTAACCATCTTGATTAGTTCCTTCTGCTTCTGCACACTCGATCGATCGGCTCAACATTCATTCCACAAACAAGCAATGCGGTTCTTGGTTCGTACCCTGTCTTCTTTAATCCACTCTTTCTTTCTTTTTGCTTCTGTACTTGTTTCCCGTTTCTTACTTGCAGTTTCCGTTTCCTCGATTTGACAGATACTGTTCTTGTTTCTCCTGCCGAGGCTGATTTCAACGCGATTCACCCCTGTCCGAAATTTCTGGTTTTCCATTCTGGTCCTTAAGGCCATGTTTCACGCTTACCCACCGCCGGAACATCTAGCTGACGTTGTGGAACACTTGCTTGAGGAAGCAGTGCTCCCACCAGAGGCATCCCCGCCGGCGCCGGAAGATCAAGCTGCTGCGGCGGAAGACTTGATTGTGGAAGCAGTCCAAGATGTGCCGCCGCCACCACCAGCAGAGCATCCAGCCCCCAGTTCTTCTGCCCAAGCGATTACTAGACGGCTTCCTCCGGCGATTTCTGAGATTTGTCGAGAAATTAATGAGATTTTCCGCTTTCTCATTGAAGAGTCTCCTCTCATCAAACAAGAGCTGACCCAGCTTTTCAGACAAGTTCTCGCCGACGAAATTCCACTAACAGCGGCGGCGGCGGCAGAAAGGAGGGAAACGGCGCTTCCACAAAGCAGTGGTAATGATCAAGAAACGGCGTCACCGGACCATGTCACCGATCCCGCAGCACAAATAGATCCACCGTCGTCAATCATCGGATCAGTAACAGAGCCACCGTCGTCGGACATCATCGGATCAGTAGCAGAGCCACCGTCGTCAGACATCACCGGATCCGGAACAGAGCCACTGGAGCATAACGAGCGAGCTGACCAAGTCGAAAATCGTCTTTCTCGGGGGACCCAGATGACCACCGCACATTTCAACCCGCTGCCGCCGCCGCGTATTCCCACTTCGGGTACTGTACCACCTCCGTCCATCTTTACCGGCGAAAGCAGTGCCGCCGGCGAGAACAGAGGAGCAATGAAGGAAACGGACGAGGACGACGGCGAGGGGAAGCAGAACAAAGCGTGAAGCCCATGGCGGCACAACTGAAACTAGATGAACAGATCTGTGCACAGGCTTGCTTTTCGTCACTTGTTGGATTCTTTACTTCCGCTTTCATGTGTTTACTTTCAGTTCATCGTTACTTTACAGATTACTTCTCATGGCGGCCGTAGAAGAACTGACTAGTATACTAGACATTTTTCTTAGCATCATGATATGAGCTCCATCCCCGTAACTTTGGGTGATTGAATTCCAATGAATGCTTACTACTTTGCTTCAGTTCACACATTCGGATTACATTACACTTTGTATCAAACTAATCTTCAATGCAAATCTCTACTGATCAACTCTCAGTCTCTATATATCTTGATTAGTACAAGGGCTCTTCTCTTCTGGTACAATTCAACTCCATTTTGGAAGGAAGTTCAAGGATATACAGTGAATGCTGGGATTGTTCTTCAAAACAAAGTTGAAATGACGGATGAGTTCAATTAAAAGAATTTTTGGAAGTTGAGATTTGGGTATTGTAAAGTCAAATTAGAGCAGTCGCCATTGCCGCCAAAAACCATGTCTAAGGTTGCGGTGGTGGTGGAGCTATGGCCGTTGCTAATTAGCAAGTCTTAGTAAGTACACATTAACCACCAGGGAGACGTTAGTAACTATTATACACTCCATACTCATGTGACCAATTCTATCTATCATAAGACATGTCCTAATTCTACTGTTTCTTAGTGTCCCATCCCATGGGTGGCACTACCGTAATTAGTTATCCATCATTGTTGTGATTAGTTCTTTAATATATTTGATAAAGGCTAGAGAAAAGAAACGTCAGCCTAGAAATTCAATCTACTGCTGTAATTAATTCTTTAATATTTGATAAAGGCTACAGAAAAGAAGCGTCAGGCTAGAGAAGCTAAAGCCAGGAGAGGTTTTGCCGAGAAAGATTGTTTGCTTTCTATTCCCAATCCAGTGTCCGCCCAAATGATCTCGGTTCTTTTTCCTCTACTCTGCAACGATCCTTGATCGTGTCTGTCTCTCTCTTCCTCAACTTTTCGGCCGTCGCTGCCTTGGGGTTTCCTCGAGGTCCGGCCGAGGTCGGCCTGTCTTTTCACACCGATGGGTTGGCCACCGCCTGAAGTCCGGCTGCTTTTGCTCTCTTCTTTCCTTATCTTCTGCTTTCTCGGGTTTCCCCTGAATCCCCTTATCTGCTCCTTTCTCTTGCTCCGCCCTCTTCAGTTTTCCTCTGATTTCTGCCATGGTTACTCATAAGCTTTTGTTGGATGTTGGTGCAACTGACGGCCTGCACACGTTGCTCAAACTACACCTGGTGCACGCTTGGGGGTCCTATGGTTTGAAGGATCCTTCTTTGATATTTAACTACTGCACGCTTTGGAATGATGAAGAGGTGTGCTTTTATTTCTCTTGCTTGTTATTATTTGTGTTCTTTCTGTTGTTGTGTGCTGATGTCGTCTGCTGATGTCGTCTTTGTTTTTGGCTTGCAGAGAACTTTAATTCAGGGTCTGGCTCCCCCTAATTTGACCGATCATTTCTCCGCCCTCTTGCAGCTGGGGAATGTCTACTTCGTTAGTGGTTTCCGGGTTCAACCTCCCGGCCTTGTCTATCGTTCTTGCTCCCACAAATTAGCAATCGTTCTTTCAATTGACACGAAATTCGAAGACGTGACTGCTTCGTCGCCCGATTTCTGGCCGGAAGCTTTCGAATTCGTGCCCTTTAGCTCTCTCCACTCGTGTATTCGCTCGAGTCTTATCTAACAGGTCGTCCATTCGTTTTCCTCTTCCCTATCTTTCTGTCTACCTACTCGAGCCCAGGCTGCTTACTTGTACTTACCAATTTTACGCCTACTTTTCCTACAGATGTAGTTGGTGCTGTCGTTAGTGTTACATGCCTTTCCCATACTTTCACAACCTTTGGCGATAACGTCGCCGGGAACTGGTATTGCAGAATGAAAGGTTTGTGTTCCCCTGACTTATTCGTTTGTTGTCCTTCTTAGGTTTTATTTCCCTCTTGTCTTCTTGAGTTGTTTACTCTGTCATTCTTTTAGCCATATGTTGCTTGATATTACGCTTTGGGGCGATATAGCACGTGTTGTTGATGGCGAGGAACTAGCCTTTCTTGGCCATGATGGGGTCGTTGTCCTTGCCCTCGGGTGCCTCAAGGTTATTGCTGCGACGCGAGGTCTTGCCTTTCTTGCCTTCCGTCCCCATTTTAACTCTTATCCGTCTTTAGTTGGCTTATTCGTGCCATTCTCTGTTAAAGTGGCTTTGCACTTTCGACACTCTTGGTACGCGCACTCTCCTGGAACCCTCCTCTGAAATGGCACACGTAATCCGATCAGCGTACGTACTAGGTTTCCTTCCCTCTGCATCTTACTGTGTTGGATTCCTTCTGCCTCCTGATTACCTGTT